ATTAAAAAAGATTTAAGTAGAAAATAAAAATTTTAAAATAATTAAACAAAATAATTAGTAATAGGCTTATAGAGTTACTAATAAAGAAATATAAATATATTAAAAAAACAATGTTAAGTAAAGAAGCTAATCTTTATATAGCTAGATTACTAGTAAAAACAAAGAAAAAAAATTAAGATCCAGATCATATAGGAGCTGGTTAGATATAAGTGAACAATAAAGAAAAATATAAAATTAATAAAGGTGCTATTAGAACTAAAGGATAATTTTTTTTTAATAAAAACAGAGCTATTAGCTATTTGATATATAATTTTATAGTATTAAACAAAAGCAAAATTAAATATACACAGATAATACAGTAGCTATAGCAAGTATATATAGTAATATGCAATATATAACTAACAAAAATAAAAAGAAAAATTATAATCTAATTTTAAATATAAAAGATACAATAAAAACAAAAAAAATAAATTTAAAATTAGTAAAGATAAAAGAATATAGTAATAATAGATAAAATAATAAAGCAAATAGTGTAGCAAAAAAAAGAAAAATATTAAAATATAAATAAAATTATAGAAGAGCCTGTCTCAAGGTCTAATGTATCACTTTGTTAAAAAGACAAAGTAGTAAAAAACCTAACATGAGATTTTGTTAAAAAAATTCTTAATATTAAAAACAATACAGATTGGAGCTATGTATTAGCAGTTAAAAAATTAAAATTAGAAAAAGAGAAAAATGAATACTGCTAGATACTATTATAGAAAAAGATCAAGAGTTAAAGTAAACCCAAATATATCTTAATTAAAAGAAGTAAAAGACTAAGTATACTTTTTAAATGCATACAAGAAAAAATGCCAATATTTAAAAAATTAACAATAAGATAATCAGACTTCTATGCAAATTCTTTTTTTTTTTTGCTTTTACTAAGACTGTTAGTTATTAGTGACTATTGTCTTTATTGTAAATTTAATTATGATTACATAACTTGTACAAGGTTACTCCTATACTATACTAGCAGATAGTGCACAAGCTCCTGTATATCTAATTAGATGCTGTCTAACCTAACTCTAATCTTTTTGTCTGTATGTTTGTCAAGCTGTTATATATTTCAGAGTATATCACTTGACTGTAAGGCTTCAGAAGGCCCTTCTGCTAACTAACTACCTATATTTAATCTTTGCTAACAGGACTTGCTCTTGTAAAGTTCATCCAGACCTCAGTACTAACTTTATAGCATATTCCTATTACTTAGCTATATTCTGCTTTAGATATCAGTCTTCCAATTTAGATAGCTCAAAAGGACTGTGTCCTGTCCCTAGTAGCTTGAGGATCTGCTCTCCAAGATTCTTTTTCTCTAGTTTAAAACTTCTAATGGCCTGGTTGGTGATACCTCTCACCTAAAATACTTGCTCACCTAATGCCTTTTATATCAGTATTCATTTTCTAGATTTAGCCTTTACAGTAGTATTGTTGAAGATTCATACTACTTTTTTACTCAGGTCTTTTTAAGTAGGCTTCAGTTTCCCAGTTTACAGATTAACATACCTATGAGAACTTATTTTAGATTTGTACTGCTTGATACTGGTTTACATTTTTCTGTATAACTTCAACATTGCACAGATACTCTATAACCTGTCAGTTATGTTAGTGTGACTATGTTACAGATATCTGATTTCAACTGATTGATGGAATGCTATTGCTATAATACTATTTATCTTTTATAATATTAATATAACATAGATAGTTTTTTAAAATTTTGTTGTTGATAGATTTTGAACTTTCAACCTATTATTTGGAAAATTGACAACTTATCTACTTTACTAAGTTGCCATATCTCTTCTTTGCAAATTCAAATTGTATAGTTTACAAAAAAAAAAGAAAACTAAAACTATTTAACATGTTTTTTTTATAAAGACTACTGAATAAAAACAAAAATATTAGTAATAATAATAACATAAAGCATATTCTTAAAAAAAAGAAAAAATAATATTGCTCAAATATAGTTAAAAGAATATAAAATACTCTAGTCTTAATATAAGAAATAAAAAATTTTCTAAAGAGTATTGTAGATAATATTTGAAATAAATTTTATAAAACAATTTAAAAAGAAAGATGCAATCAAATATCTAAATAAGAGAAAAGTCAAGAAATTAGTACAAGAAGAAAAAAGAACAAAAATAAAACAATAGAACAAGATGGATTATTGCACAAAGTGTTATCAGAATTAAGAGACAAAAACTTTAAAAAAATAAAAGATATAAAAAAAAGAAATAGAAAATAAAAAAATAAAAGATTTATAAAAAAATATAATTAGAAAATTAATTAGTAATAATAAAAGAACTTACTGGAACAGCCTTAAAGACTAATCTAAATAGCTTTTTAGTAACAAATATAAACTTACTCTAGTGTAACAGGTTATCTTTAGATGCCTATACAGTAGCTAAAAGATGTTAAAACTATAAATTAAGCTAATATTTATATAATTATATATACAATTTTCTTAATAAAGAATTTTGGCAAAGTTGCCAAAGATTTTTAAAAAAAGAATTTAATAATAAAATTAAACAAAAAAAAATCATATTTTTCTTAGTTTAGAAGATTTTTTATAACTTACTATTAAAAAAAATTTAAAAGTATTGTAATTTAAATTATATATTATTATTATTAATTTTATATAATTATAAGCTAAATTATTTAAAAAAATAAAATAAAATAAAACAGTAATAATATTCATAAAAAATACAATATAAATTGCAAATAACAAAATATAAATACAATAAATAATCTAGATTGTAGATAAAATTTTTTTTATAATATTAATAATAGTCTATATTTTTATTTTTATTAAATATTGTATTTAATTAAAATTTTATATAAAGTATAAAATATTATAGAAAAAATAAAAACTTAAACTAATTTATTTTTAGCTTAAAGCAAATTGTATAAAAATTTTTTAATATAAATAATAAATAAATTAACAAAAAAAAATTAAATTAATTATAATAAATTTAGATAAAAAAAACAAAAAAATAAATATAAAATATAAGTAAATATAAAAAGAAGCACTAATAAGTTAACAAAATTTTTGAAAATTTAATTAAATTACAAATTAAAAAATTTTTAATCAAATTAAGAGCTTAAAAAATAATGCAAATAACAATTAAAAGTCTAAATACTAAGTAAATAATAATAGTATAAGTGTTATATATAAATAATATATATATAAAGTTAAAGTTAATATATATACTTTAGATAACAAAGTTAACAAAAGTAGTAATTGATATAATACAAAGTTTTTACTAAAAATAAGTTTAAAATAGTAAGAACAATAGAAATAACAAAAATATATACTATTATAAACAAATTTGTATTTTTAATATTGTTATAAATTTTATAAAATAATAGTTATAATAATTTCAAAAACAAATTAGTAATATAAATAATAATCATTATTTTTAAATCTAAAATAATAAAATTAATTAATATTAATCTAATTGGTAAATAAAATTAAAAATAAATAAAAAATAATATTACTTTGTTTTTTTTGAAGTTAAGATGAGATTTTGTTTATATTTTTATTAATTTGTTAAAAAGACCTCTAGGAGCTTCTTTGAATATAAATTACAATTTATTTTAATTACAAATATATTACAAGAATGGAGCTCAGATTATAAACAGATTATTATCTAATTTATCTATAACCTAAATTTATTAGAATAGTTAAACTTATTTAGATTTGATAATATAAAATATTGTTTGTAAAATAACTATGTAGTATCTAGTATATAGACTAAAAATAATTTTGTAAAGTGCATGTTCTAGTGATGAGCAGTTATTATCTTCTGTTTGAAGTTGGTTAAATAAATTACATAGTTGACAAGTTGTGTGGTATAAGTTGTGATGTTAATTACAATAATTATAAGATCTTTAATAATTTGTAGATCTGTTATTTGATATAATATTATTGTTTTTTTTTTATTATATTAGTTTAGTAGTATATAGTTTTCAGATATGATTATATATTTTTTGTGATATTTTTATAAGTAGTTTAGTAATTTTTAGAGTTATAGTTTGATAAAATGTAGTATAGGGTCTAATTGTTATAATTAGGTCTATTGGTATATATTTTTATAATATTATATATATACGTACTAGTTTATTCTTATCAAATATTATTAAATGATAAGCTGTTATATTCAATTAATAAATAATATAATTATTGTATTTGTGATTTTATAATATTTAATGATGGGTTATTAATAATTTCAAAGATTGTTTTTATAATAATATTAGTAAGATTTGTTAGATTAGAACAAAATAACTAGTATAATAAGTATTTTAATATTTGATAGATAATATAGTTGTCATGCTGAAAACTATTTAGATATAGTTCATGAAGATGATGTAATGTTGGTAGGATGTTAAGTAGTATTTTAATTTTAAAAAATTTATTTTGATTAAGTGAGAAGTTAGTAAAGTTATTTGATCTTTTAATATTGTTATTAAGGTATAACCAGGTTGCATTCTAATCAATTTGAAATAAAGTAAAAAAATATTGCTCATATGATGTTGTGATAATCACATAGCAATTATATGTACATTACAAATATTTTTAATAGCTTGTCTAGTAAGTTGTTCAATTGTGTATTTGCCATATTTTAAAAGATAATATTACTTTGTAAAATAAAACTTGTAACTATATATGTATATTTTCAATTGCTTGTTTAATTATTAAGATAAGAATATTTGTTAAAAACAAAAAAACAAAAATATATATAAAAAAAGTAAAAGGTTAATCAAAAAATAAAATCAACTTAAAATCAATAAAAGATATTGTGTTAAAACTATAACAAATGTTTGAAATCTTTTTTTTTTTATAAATTTTTATAAATAGAGATAAATTTTTTTGAAGCAATATATAATTTGTTCTTTACACAATTAGATTCTTAATAAAAAAACCCTTTAAATCTACTAAAAATAAAATACTCTTTAAAGTCTACTTATTCACTTTGTAATACACTCGATAACCCTAGACTATGCCAAATTGTATCTGCCTCATTTTAACTATTAAATAACATTATCAGACAAAGGACATTTCCCTTAGAATGTTGGTTATAATAAAAATTATAGTAAATTCATATGTTTTTATTATAATTTTTATTATAGACAACATTTTGAGCTTTTATAAGAAGAACTGTCCTATGACTGCTATGCAATGTTCTCGATCCTGAAATGACAATTTGTTACATCTCTCTACTTTTTGTTGGTGTGTGCTTTCGATCATTTCACCTCTGAAAATACTAATCACGTTTCAAAAGTTTATCACTGCCGTATCACAAGCTTTTCAAATAGCCAAATAATCATTCGGTACATTTTTTACTAGATGTCCTAAAATTTATGAGAACAGATTTAACCGAATAAGTACAATCGATTAATCGAATTTAACCGGATTTAGCAAGATATAATATAACCGATTTGTATTCGGTTGCAATTTTTAGAAAGTTAATAAAACAAGTTCCAACCTCTAAATCAATTAGTATATAAGTTGCTGAAAAAATAATTGATACGTACATAAGATGAATAAAATTTTTAACACTGTAGTGACACGATTTATTAATAGTGACGGGTTAATGACAACTAGTGCCTAGGTATGTTGTGGCTGGGACTTAGAAGTACAGAACGACCCGACTTGTACTATTTCTTTTACTTAGTTTTGGAATATGTGGGTGTAGGTCTAGAACATGAACTTTAGGCAGTCAACAAGAACATTGGAGAAAGTAAATAGGGCATCGAGGTCTTTTGGATGTTACGTCATAGAGTAGTTTTCCTACGTATGGACCTTGACTTAGTCCATAAGTCTAAAAGTTTATAAAATAGAATATGTCATCCTGCTTTAATAAAATGATTATGCTTTCGATATTATAAATAAAAATGAACTAGTAAAGAAACTAATGTAAAAATGTCTCGTGATTGGAGCTAAAATCGTGCATATATGCGTATTGCTCTCCCAACCAATCTAACTGTAAAATTACAACTTCGCCGATCTATGCACAAAATCTTCACTGCTAGTTTTTAATTAGCATATCGGGAAGCCCCTTTTGTACGTACGTACTATACGAATCGTGTAATAATATCCTGAAACAATAACAATATCCTGAAACCATAATAACACCTGAAACACGAACATCAATCGGAGCTGTAACGTGAAAGTCATGTGTTTTGTTTTGAAGAAACTATCTATTATCTGTTGCGTATATTGAATTGTTTTTGATTATTCGACAAGATATGATTTGTGCATATTCACGGTTCTTTCAAAACATTATGGGCATGTGGTAAATGCTACAACCAGCATCTCCAGTAGGGGTTTTAAGATTAGCAAATAAATAAGTAGGATTTTTTAATAGTATTTTACTATTTTCGGATTTTAATTTTGAACCCCCTAGTGTTTAAATTTTAAGCATGCGCATCGCGCATAAACGTTAATACAATAATAGGCGGTATGTTTTCGAGATAATCCTACGGGCATTATTACGCGAAAATACGTACAAAAGTAAGATAAACCAAACCTTTTTATGTAGATAATATGATAAACTGTTAAATGCAAGACTACATCAAGCCAATAATTATTTATGCAAATTGGTTCTTTGCTTTAATTTGTGTGTGTAGCTTTTTCCTAAACATAAATATTTAATTGTCCATAGGTATTCTTACTAACTTTTATTTTGCGAAAGGTAGAACATGTTTCATAATTGGTTAATTATCGTTTGTTGTTGTTTTATTTTTCTTTGATCTAGAATCTTTTTTACCAATATCCCTTTTTTTTTCTTTATCTACGATCATATGAAATGTATTTTGGCTATACTGTATGAAAATATATTTTGGTAATGGTAAATTACTACTATTATAAATCAATTTAATTCTTGTAAAGTTAATAATTGGTTGTTCGGTATTGTATCATCTTTTTTAGACAAAAAAATAAATAAAGAAAGAAATAAGTATGAAAATCAATTCAAACACAGCCTAAAATTTGAAGGTTTTCCGGAAGGTTAAGGCCAACTGTAGTAACGCTGGATTATCCTTGTAGTTTTATCATTATGAATTGATTGTTCATTTAACACGTGATCAATATACATACTACAGTGCCTATAAAATTATTTTTTTAAAAAAATTATTGAATAACAAATAATCGAGGTTAAAGCCTTGTAATATTTTATACCGGATTATACACCAGTCACTTGCTTTAATTTAACAATCAAATCAGATCCAAATTGGGTGTCTGATTTTAATCTGATCGCTAACCGATTACTGCCTGATTGATGACGATTTTTGTTACAAAATTATCATCAATCAGCCTTCTTTCGAACTGTGTAATCTACTAAAATTAAATTTATTCTTTGGATAGTTAGATTAGGATTGTTTTAACTTTATGGTAAAATGTTAAAGGTAAATCTTTCCTTGGCATGCATTTCAATTAGTGCCTTAAAATCTTATTTCTCTTTTTGTTTTTGTAAATATTAATGGTTTGCTCAATTAAAATAAAGATGCGCCGTAATATTGGTCTCTGTTTTCAAATAGAAAAATTCTACTGAAGTATCTTAGAGCCATGGGATATTAAACATTTATATATTATTGGAGGAAAATCCGGTAAGTCCCGTATGTAATGAAAATTCTAACATTAAAGAGATTGTAAGTCAATAGTTTCACAAAATAAAATTGTACATCGTAAATTTATAGATATGTAACAGATTTATTACGTGTCAAAATATATAGTACACTGACCGCAGATTATCACGGGAACCCTCAATTCTCGATTTTGATTGGTAGTTTCGCGTCCCAGATAGGGTGTTTGGTAATGTTATTGATCTACATACTACATAAATTGTATTATTGATATCCATATATAAATAGTAACAATAACTGCATCAAAAAAGTTAATTTCTTGCAATTTAGCTACGTATCTATTTGTTAATTTATTAATTTATTGTAAAAGGTAAATACATTAATCAATGCGTTATAACCAATACTTTGAACTCTCGTGTTCAAAATTCAAAATTTAATATATAACGCAAGTTATTTACAAATTTATTCTTTTAAGTTATATATATAAATAGCTAAGAAATATTAAAAAAAAAATAATTAAATTTTAAGTTCCAAAAAAGCCCACACGACAAATTAAAAAGCATACCTTTTTAATCAATTTTTTATTACTTTTACATTCGAATAACTAATAATGAAAGAGGAATTAGATTTTGAACATTCATCACGTTCATATAGTAAATTCATATTAAAAAGTGGTATCCGTTCGTGTAACAATACAATCATATAAAAAACTGTTATAGTTAGTTTAATTAGGGGTCTTTGCATATCTTTGTTACAATTAGTCGATCAAACACCCGCGTCCCAGATATTGTAATTATGGATATGGGAGAGCTTTTATATTTTCCAACCAAGTTTAACTCAGTGCCGCAAGCATTAAATACAAAACCAGTAATACACAAAGACAAGAAAAAATCCTAAAAGCGTAATTAGTACAAGAAAGAATCCCTCCTTTTATGCTCTTATTATGCAAAACGTAAATGAATATAAAATGTCGTTAATATAGGTTCGATCATTATCTATATAAAGTTACACAATAAAAGTATAATACATACATCATTTTTCGTAACAACATTTGAGAGCGTCCCAGATATGGTAATTATGGTTATGCGATCCATATTTATGCCATATATGGGATGTTCTCCCTTGTATAACGTATAATATATTACGCGAAATAAAGTTTTGGAAGGTTTACATATGAACCTTGATTATTAATTAAATAACAAGCCTTTGTTAAATAAATTGGCACAATTAAATTCATTTAATTGTACTTATAGACTGCACGAGTAGCAAAGAATGTTCTTGTATATAACAATAAATTATATTTTAATATAAGATATTACACTTCTTACTTTTTTTTCAAACCTTAGTTTTGGCTTTTACGCGTGTAAGATAATGCCACCACAAAAAAAACGTAATAATATAACCGTAGCATGTACAAATTGTCGAAAACGGCACGTAAAATGCAATAAATCTTCTGGAGAAGATAAATGTACAAACTGTAATAAAAGAAATCTAGATTGTACTTTAATAGAGGGTAATAAGCGCGGTCCAAAGTCCACTGCTAATGCATACCAAAATACATTCATGAACAATTCCTCCTTCATTCACGATGAACATACGTCAAATAATGATCAAAACATTATGTCCTTTCTTAATTTCTCCCCTGATTCATTTTCTGCTAGTGATTTTTTATCACATCTTTATAGTCATACTACTGAGACTATTGATGCTACTGAAACTGTTGACGCTACTGAAGCTACCGAGACTATTGAAATTTTCCAAAATGCTCAACCTTCGTTATATTTTCATGACCATGAACAAATAATGCCAACTAATGATCAGAATATATCATCCTTTTCAACGAACGATTTAAACGGTTCCTTCTATCACGAAACTCCACATCCTCATATTGACCCTCTTGATGAGGCTACTGAATCATCTCAAAACTGCAAGTACGTACTGTTTTGTCTGAATCACTCGGATTGCGTTCAATCCTTGTTTTCACAATTAGCCGATTAGCTCAAAAATGTGTAGAATGTGGTTTTTTTTCCTTTCAGATGAATAGTTAGACTTTTTTCTACGAACTTTCAATTCTTTTTTATTCGATACACAAACGGGTGTCGCAAAGCGAAAACCTGGAATTCACAAACGGGTGTCGCAAAGCGAAAACCTGGAATTCACAAACGAGTGTCACAAAAAGCGAAAACCTGGAATTCTTGATTTTCGGAAATTTCACTTTCAGAAACAGTGATCAGATTCCTATAATAAATTCTATTTAATGAAACATGTGTCAGAAAACTCTCAATTCCAGGTTTTCCCTTTGCGACAACCCAAACAATTCTCGTTACAAATATATTTTTTTTGTTTTTTATTCGTTACAAGCATATACATTTCTCAATTTCTCGTTAATTCTTTTTTTTTTACATTCAATAAAAATTTTCTTTTAGTTACAAGTTTATTTCGTGTTTTTTATTTGTCACAAGCATAACATTTCTCGATTTCTCGTTAATTCTTTTTTTTACATTCGAAAAAAATTTCTTTTCATTTACAAGTTTATTTCGATAGACATTTTTTGAGTTACAACCACTTTTTCTATCACGAATAGCATCACTACTTAAGCACTTTATTTGGTTTTAAATTTATGATTTTGTCTTCATATTGTTGTGAGATTATTTAGATGTATTATAATATATGCTATTATCAAATAATTAAAGGTTTAATAATATTCTTAAGCAAAATAAAGTTTCATTATAAGGAAATAATTTTTTAAAAATTTTGATAACCTAAAAAAAAAAAAAAAATACCGGAATAAAAATATATTCTACTTGTATATTACTAGATTTATGAGTCATTTAACGTATTGACAAATAAGAGAAATAAACAAGGAACGAAAGTTTGTTATGTACGGACTCATTTTACTGAAAGTTCACTTATCAGACATCACATAGAGTTAGATTAACATTTGATTATACATGTAGAAACTATTTCGGCAAAGCCGAAATACTAGTTTTTATGACATGTATATATTTTTTAGGTCTTCCTCATGTTGAAGTCATGTGATAAAGATAAAAATTCTTAAAATTTATTAAGATTAGGATTAACGAATCAAGTATCTGACTTTAATCTGGTTGTTAACTAATTACTGTTAACTGTTAATTATAAAAATCGACACTAATCAAACAGTAGCAATCAGATTAAAATCAGGTACTTGACTCTTAGCTGATTTTTTATACAGTATTTCAACTAGGGTTAGGCATGCCTGCTTTAGTATTTAGGCAAATATTAAACTCATGGTATAATGAAATCAAAATTAAATATGAATTAACAGTAAATATGAATTAACAGTAAATTTATTCTTTAAACGATGGATCCAAATGCCAATATAAAATAATATGAGTATTCAATTATTATAAATGCAGTAACTTAACATGATACATACCATCAGGAACTTCAACAGCATCAATAAGCTTACTCGACAAAGTTGCTAAGATAACATAATTAGTTTGAATGAATAAAATAATAAACCATAATTTTTTTAAAACAAATACCTTCAAATGCACTTGATATTGTTCGTGTATTGATAATTTTACTAGTGTACATAAAGTCTGGATGTTTGGGTGAAACAATTGGCAATTTTTTGACTATGTTATCAGCATCTAAGAATTGCCTTTTAATTTTATTTGAATTATCTGAACATTTCATGTTTTTATTCCATTCATGAAATTTCCAGTAAACACTTTCAGCAGTAGGCCGTTTATCTGGATTGGAATCCATACATTGTTTAGCAAGTTCAATATAACAATTCGGAGTTCCGGGAGCAAATTCTGGACGCAATCCTTTACAAATGTTTATTGCGAGACCAATATTAAATTCATAACCATCAAAAGGTCTTTGTCCAGTTGAAATTTCTGACATAATGGCTCCGAAGCCGTAAATATCGGCAGCTTTTGTAAACTTTTGACCAGTTAAAACCTCAGGAGCGACATAAGGCATGATTCCATAAATACAACCTACTAAACCATTTTCATCATTCTTTTTAGACAATCCCAGATCTGAGATATAAGATTGTATGTTTTTACTAATGGTTTCATCTTGCAAAATATTACCACTGTGAAAGTCTGCATGAACATATCCTGCTCTATGAATATCATCTAAATCGCTTGCAATATCTTCAAGTAGTTTTAATTTAATTTGCCAGGTAAGATCTTGAAAATTTTTTCTTAAAAACTTATTAAGGCTTCCATTATTAGCATATTGAAATACCATCAGGTATTCATTTGTTTTTGTGTTGTAAGTCATTCCATATATTCTAAGTTTACTACCTTTAAATGTACATTTCATATGATTGTCAAACTTGATAGATTTATATAAATCAGTTCAATATGCGTTTAATAAACCATAAAATGAATAATGGTTAACTTACTTCTTTCAAAAAATTGTTAGGATTTTCCTCAGAACAAGATAAACTCTTGAGTGCAACAGTGCTAGATGATTCGCGTGCTCTTGTATAATTACCCTTATCGCCATTAATTTTTCGTATACCATCCAACCAGGTTGCAGAAAATACGGTGCCAAATCCTCCTTTACCTATTTCTTCTGTAATAACTAATCTATCAAACGGAATCCATTCAATTATATATTCATAATCGTAAGATCTGAGTTGAAACTCTTTCATGCAATTATCAATATCTTTATTTCCACTTGTCCATCCTTGAATCGTTATATCAGGATCACATGTTTGACACCATGCTTTATTCATATTATATTCATTACAATGAGCGCATTTTCCACAATCAGAATCTCTATAATCATCAATCATATTATATTTTCACATTAGTTCTTCACTTTATTTATGCAGCTATTACTTTTCAAAGTAAAATAATTCTATGCTTACCGACTAATAAAATAGTAAATGTGAATAACTTAACTTGATAATTTATCTTGAACACTTAAATTAATAAATATTCTTTATACTCACTGACTAAATTAACGCGAATAAAATAATGAATATTCATAAACTAGAATAGCTTATTTAGTATAGCTTATTTAGAATACTTATACTCACACACTAAATTAACGTGAATAAATGAAAATATTCGTGAATTTGAATGGCTTATTGGATCAATAAACGTTCACTATACTTACTAGCTGCATTAAATAGTAAACATTCATGAACTTGAATAGTTTATTTCAGTTGGATTAATTTCTTTATACTCACCTACTAGATTAACGCGAATAAAACGAAATTAAATAGTAAATACTCATGATCTTGAATTTATTTACAATATTTTTAAATACTCAGATAATAAAATTTTCTTTATACTCACCCACTAAATTAACGCGAATAAAATGAAATTAAGTAGTAAATATCATAAACATGAATGATTTATTTACAAATACTTGTATTAATAAATTTCTTTATACTCACGGACTAAATTAATGTGAATAAAATTAATGAGGAGTTATATTCAAATAGAGATTATCATGAACTATTACAATCTAAATTATTTTTACACAATTAATCAACTTACTTCCTAAAGAATTAAATAGTTTTAAGAATTGCAAAATTTTAAAATGTTAAAGTTCAAATATCTTAATGAATAATAATTAACAAATGACTTACTTTTTATTCCAATTACGGTATTCATTAAAATTTTCTTCTACACCAATTCCATATCTGTAACAAATGGCAGTTTTAAAAATTCCCATAGAATTACCGGTCTTAGCTGATTTCAGGTAATGTACGAATGCTTTATATTTATCCATTTCAACTCCAATTCCTAAATAATAACAATAACCAACTTGGTACATTCCGTTAGAATTATCCATCTCTGCAGATTTTTGGTAATGAATGAATGCCTTATCCTTATCTATTTCAACACCAATCCCGTATTCGTAACAATAACCAAGCCAAAATATTCCATCTGAATCATTCATATCGGCTGATTTTTTACAATCAATGAAATTCAATTGATTAAAAGCATTGGTGACTTGAGTGATTTCATTTGATGATTTGTTGTCTTTTGTTGTATTCGACATTTTTGACACAAGAAATTACATTAAAAGAAATGATTTCATCAAAGTATTGAATGTATGTAGCGCTTTAGTCAAATAATATAACCTAAATACTGTTTCATGTAGTACATATATACAAATATATTAATACTTGGAAGAGGATATGTTGTACTACTTGCTTGAAGTTGCTACTTTAGGCGCTTGAAGCCGAAATTTAGATCTTAAATTTTGACCTGCATCGGATCTAAAGTGGCAGCTTTGAGTACGACATGTATTTTTTAAACCAAGATAACATATAAAAATTCCTTCCGTAGATTCATTTAAAAAACTTTTAAAACTTTTTACATTAGGTAAGCTATCTATGCTTATCGTTATCAATTTAATGTTAAATTTAAAATTTATGATTAACTAATGATTATTGTTACACAACGAACTGTACATCGTTGCAAATTTTAAGATCAAACAAATTAAAAGTGAAGAAATTAACTTATAAATTGTATAAATTGACATATGGTAAATTTAACTATACGTATAATTTTTAAAATCATTAATGTTTTACCAAAATTTATGCATATTATTGTTTAGATCATGTTAATATTTGAGGCAACTTTGCGCCATGATTTCGGAACCCTACTAAACCAAAAACGCATTTGTGAATAAAATCATGTGAAGATAAAAAAAAATCGTTATGTAGAACAGATTTTTTTAATTATGTAACGATAAAAACCTTTCATACTACTTTATTAGTGGTATATACTTTTTAGGAATAAAGAATATTGACGTTTCACTGAGTTATTTAAGAGTAAGTTTCTAAGCTCAAAGATATGTTAAATACATGAAAAAACTTTAGAGTTAAATAATACTAATAAGATATAATTAATAGTTTAAAGCACAATTGATTACGTAGTAAATTATATGTTATACTATATAACTATATAATTAGTTTTCGAGCGAGTCCGAAATATTTTTTCTATTTTAACACTTGAAAAATACTTTGGAATTTAAAAAGTACAATATTTTATGAGTTAACCCCAAACTATTTCGCCCTGACAGAAATCATTTCTTGTTGGCGAAATGTTTCGGATTTTGGAAAGTAGTCTAGCCAGAAACGCTTTAACCAATCAATCATAAGGAATTTCCTATTGAGATCTTGGGTTTCCATGAATTACTGAAATTGTAAGTTTTCCCATTGAATATGCATTGTTTGCATATATATTTTGATAAAAAGTCTATTCTTACTATCTTTATTAGCAACTTTTTGAAGATCCAAGATCCCCACTCTGGCGTGAACAATTTAATAATAAAGATACTTCTAATTGAATTTGTGGAAATTTCTAGAGGAATCTCTTGCAGTATATCTGACCATTTAGTAAATTGTACTACATATTAGTCGATTAATTATAAAGTGGTCACCTATACCTGTATACTACCAATATCCAAATTATTACCTTATGATCCTAAAGACTTTGTCTGCTTCACATCTAATAATTATGTTAATTATAAATTACAACAAAGCGCCCGAAAACCTCACGATTAGAGGATACATTAATGTCAATTACTTTTCCAATTGTATGATTTTAATTATAACAATAACAATACGAGGCTGATGGATCTAACGCTAACCAACCATATTATTTTGACTTATACAATTGAACCAGTTACACGAATTATTTTGTTATGTTAATCTTGTTATCGTTATTCTATCGAATTGTGCATGTAAATTAATATACTCACATATTGTGTGTACGTATGTACGTATTACAATACGTCATATAAAACCTTCATTTATCATTGTTTGTATTGTTATTAGGTAATTTTTTCGTTACCAACTTTGGCTATTGGCGTCTAAGTCACATGATATAATACAATCATTTGATGGATTAAATGAACACCGAACAATAATAATTATTGTATTCAATTTTTTCGTTTAACTATTATCATCAAAGAACAACTCTCTCCTCACGAATTCAATCCAAAATGCCTGATAAATTACTGTCTCTTTTATCTAAGCAATATAATGATCTCTTGAACTCTGGTGAATTTTTTGACGTGAATATCGAAGTAGGCGAAGGATCAAATACAAGGGAATTTCAAGCTCATTCTCTTGTTTTAAGAATTCGTTCTCCTTATTTTCAAGCTGCTCTATCAAATGGCTGGGCGAAAAGCAAGAATGGTGTGATAGTTTTTAAGAAACCTAATATTTCTCCTGACGTTTTTGAAGCACTTCTCGGGTATGTCAGGAAAACAACTCTCAAGTCTTAATATTATTAAAATAATACTAAAATATTCTAAAAAAATATCCATTATTATTATTATTTATTTTCAGTTATGTTTATAGTGGAACTATTGACTTTGTAAGAACGGATCCAAGAATTCTCATAGAATTACTTCCAGCGGCTGATGAATTATTTCTTACAGAATTATGTGATCATCTCGAAGAACATCTCATAGATCTTACTGTCAGATCTTCGATAAAACAAAATTTTGTTCTTTCACATCGAATAGCGAATCAACATCGGTTTGAAAAATTCTCTTCATTATGTGAAACAATTCTCAATCAAGATCCCGGTGCATTGTTTAGCGCCAGTGATTTCGCTGATATAGAACATGATGTTTTATTATCCATTTTTCGTGATTGTAATTCTCAGTTCAGAGAAATAGATTTATGGAATAAGTTATTGGAATGGTCAATTGCAAACACTCCTTCATTACCTCCCGACATATCACGATGGACGACCGATGATATATCAACTTTTGGTGTTTTGGCAAAGCCTTTCATTCAATATATTAATCTTATTTTTATAAGCCCTGATGACTTTTTTCATAAAATTAGACCATTTCGCAGAATTTTTGATGTAGAACATTATATACAAATCTTGGAATATCATACCTTCGCTCAACTTCGTGAAAAGACACTTTTTAATAAGCCTATTCAACCAATTTTGGATTCAAAGATAATTTCTACGCAACATATGGCCTTGATTTCTAAATGGATCACTGCATTTAAAGATGATTCTAACTTAGCTGGCTCAACTCCTACTAATAATTCTCCTCCTCCATCTTATAAATTTAAATTATTATTACGAGGAAGTCGTGATGGTTTCACTCCAAAAATGTTTCACGCTTATTGTGATCAAAAAGGTCCTACCGTTACCATTGTTCATACTACAAAAAAGAAAATTATTGGTGGTTATAATCCTTTAAACTGGCACTCAAGTTTTATTACTCATTCCATGGAAAATTATGAGCAAACCAAAGAAAGTTTTATTTTTTCTTTAGATCAAAAACTTGCTAGTAAATCTATTGTTAGTAAGGTTAAAGACGATAAATATGCTATTTATCAACGAATTTATGCTGGCCCTTGTTTTGGTAATGGTGGTGATTTAATAATTAAAGAGAAAACTGGTTTTTGTTACAAAAAAAGTTATGAAAAATGTATTATACAGGAGGGCGAAAGTAATGAATTTTTGATCGATGATTATGAGGTTTTTCAAATAATTGAAGATCAAATCGTATAAATATATATATAACTATAATGTAGAAAATTAATAGAGAAATACAATGTAATATTAATAATGAACAATGTACGTACTTTATCATCTTATAGAATTTTAAAAATAAAATAAATATATCTTTACAATTTTCATTTATATTTTGCGTCTGATGAATTTCAAGATTTAACGGTATTTTGTTGCATAAACCACCAAGCTCTCTAAAAACTAAGATGGTAAATGATCTGAAATGACTCAAATGACTAGTCATTTCAGGTCTGAAAGGTCGAGAGGGTCATTTAACATATGTTGATTGATATTATTGTTGCATCTGAAGTAGCCACCTATCTGTTGTTGTTTCTTTAGATAGTAGCACCTGGCTAGAATTACCTACATGATGATCTAATTTCAGGGACTTAATTCTAGTCAGATGCTACTTATATATCTAGAAAGTCGATAATCAATTCAGATATGAAAATTAAAAAAAAACACAATAAAATATGGCAACTCAGGTTTCGCCCTATTCTAATATAATTACCGTACAGCGTGGACTAAATACCCAGGGTACTTTACAATTTAAGCTGTATATGGGTATTATAGTCAGAGGGATACTATGGT